TCTCTTATAACCGATACCAAGTTTACCGTCACATTTTCATTGCAAACCATGTGGATTTTATTGTCACACACTTTGCACAAAAACAATTTGAGGAAAGCACTTTATTTTTAATTGTTCTTCACAGTAAAAATGTCCAAAAATAAATAGAATGACAATGTTTTAATTGTGTATTTTATTTTGTTGTTGGTTCGTTCATTCCGAAAGAGCGCGAACTGGTCTCCCTGTCATTTCTTGACGCTTGACCATTGACGTTCTGTGGCTAAGTTCCGTTTCTCCTCTTAGGCATCCCTTGACAGCCGTGTTCCGTGCCGACTGTTCGGAGTGCTCCGTCCGGCTGGTGTCGAGTGGCAGAGAGCCAGGTTATGAGTCCGCCACAACCATTTTGTATACGGCGCCATATATGATAGGTACCTAGAACGAAGCTCGCCGTTGCGCGGTAATTTCATTGCAGATACAGTAGAACAGAATACTGCTAAGGAACTGGAGCTATTCCGAACAGAACTATTCCACTATGCCGATCAGATAAAGTGGTGCAGAAAGAGTAGATCAGATAGAATAGTGCAGATACAGTAGAACAGATGGAGTATTGCAGTGCATGCAGTGCAGATAAAATGAAACAGGGCTGCGCTGGAGATTTTTTTTGTTTTCTTTACATTTTTTGAACATTCCTGTGCCTGAGTTTATTTATTTGGTGGTACACTTTATAAGAATAATGCCCACAAGATGCCTAAAAAGGGATGATGTAAAATTTTAATTTTAGGTGACTTCTGATCCAGAGAGTAAAAATTAATTTTCTTCAACCAAAGTCAAATTCACCATCGAAAAAAACTGAATTTAATTCAGTTAATAGATACGTTAACACAACATTTAATAGGTATTTAATAATTCAGAGGAGGTACGAAGTTCGCCGGGTCAGCTAGTATTATTATAAAAAGTATGTGTTTTTGTCCTAAGACCACGCACATTTTGGTAATAAATAGATAATTTGTGTTTGCGTTGGTTTATATTTTTTTGTTGAAAAACTGGCTTACTGAATTCACCTACTCCGCGCGGGGATCCTTCCTGCGATTCCGAAAAAACGAAACTAGTGCTCCTTCGGGCCATGCTTCTCCTTCCAAGCATCCTTCAGATTAGTCTGCTTAATAGTGACTTTCACAGAGCTGTAACTTCAGGATATCCGGAAACATGGGGTTCACATTTTGCTTCTGAGAATCTTGATTTTACTAGCGTTTCAAACTCTCCAATGTTAACATTTGGTTGGAGTCTGGTGACATGTAGAGTTACCATTTTAGGTACTGTTTGGATATCCCTCATATTGTCATTATTAGTTACAATGACAAAGCGCCTTTTTGGTCGATTTCTCCTGACCTCCAGCCTCCAGCCATCCATTTTCCTGTTCCTGACGATCAATAGCTCATAAATTTTGAACCGCATTTAATTTAAGGCTCGCTTGCACTTGAGCAATTTCAGCATTTACCGCTGCTAATGAAAATTTGTTTTTGTTTTTGTTATTAGGCAATTTAATCCATCTGTCAAAGTGGAAAATTCAATATGGCGTGGCGGCCAAGCAAGCTTGTTTTGAATATGTTTTTATGCGTATTTTAAATTATTTTGCTTAGAGCTTTGCTTGCAACTTTGATTTTGATTATTTAATAAAATATTTGTTGAGTAGGTACGTAAATTATTAAATCGGGCAGAAACTAGATATTTTTTTGTATTTTTTGGCCCATGTATGGCTGCCAGGCCATCTTGAATGTCACGTGGTTTAAATTGCCTAATTGATGCCGAGATTGAGGTTAGGTTTAGACACACCTGAAGTTAGCGTCTTACTTTGCACATCTCTACTATTGAGTTGACAGGCTCAGGAATGGCGGAAACAAGCGGTTCCATTGTTGCCCGATTGGGCGATTTTGACCTAAGTTCTAAATCACTAATGTTTGTATTTAGAAAACCAATTTTTTCTTTTAATAATACATTATTTTCAAGCAAGAGTTCGAACCCACTTTCCATTCCATTCTGAACTTCGAGATTGGTATTTGACTCGTTGTTTTCGTCGTTAACCTCACTTTGGTCCTCTTCACCAGATTGCGGTTCATGGACACAAACTGCATTCTTCGATCTCGCTGACTGTACCAAGCAACTAGGGTGAAACTATCTTGGGACTAATGAAATTAATCTTCCAATCGAATGAATATATTCCGATTTGTAGTGACAAATTATAAATGTTACATAGGAATGCCAGCACACATTTGCATGACATTATAAAAAATACAGTTCTTAAACTATCTGGACCCGCACCTAAGCGTTCATTCAATTTTTCAATACCCTCAAAGCTCGACTCAAAGAATTCAACAGTATTATTACACAGAGATGATAAATAAATACCTACATACTACGGACGTCCTTCAAGCCAATTCAATTCCTTAGAATGGGCTCCTTCACTAATTTTTGAAATTGGCATAATTGGATAAAGCAACTAAAAAAAGAATTTCCTGTATTTTTACTTTTGAAAGATTCATAGTCCTTCTTGAGAAAACAGAAAAAAAAGTTGTAATAGATTTAATCTGAAATGTTGGCAAAATATCATGAAAAGTAGTTAAATTAATTAGTTATGGATTCAAGATTTAATAATTTTTTTTTTGACATTATGCTTAAACACAATTTAAAACAATTTTTTATGTTTAGTTTTATTTATTTTTTTTTCGTTGCACTACATTTAGTCACAACCGACAACAGCGCATTCGAGCCTTACGTACTTTTACACAGGGTATCTAACACAGCCGAGCCGATCAGCTCCTTGCAGCAACATGAGCCAAATCAAAAATATTCATGTGACATCATCAATAATCGGAGCGTTTTAAATCATTTTGAATTTGGCTAGTTTTAAGTGCCTGTAAAAAACTTATTTAACCTTGTGGAACATTTTTTTTTGGTATATATGCCTAAAATAGTCCCTCCTTGGGGATTTTATGCTTAAGTTATGTATTTAAATTTTAGTGAAAGAGCCCATTCAAAACTGTGCTTCCATTATCCAAGAAATAATCTTATTGGCAAAGCTGGTATATACATATAACATATCGTCGGTCCCATACCAAATCATGAATGTGCGAAATTTACCGTTTTGACCTAAGTGCACCATTAAGATTATTATGAGCCCTATTTGCCATGCCAAACTGAAGAATGTATTTGCACACCATAATTGGCCGAAACGTCAATATGTATTTCAAATTACACAAAAACCTGATTTTCCCTATCATTCCAAACTTTAAAACCAATTTTTTAAATTGAATTATAAATTAGCTTTGGTAGAATTTTATTGATAACTGTAAATTAGTCTTGACTAAATAAAGGATTTATATATCTCAACACTATAATTTCGCACATTCATGGTTCTGACATGGGACCTCGCATGGGACCGATGCTGGATGTGGGTTTTTTCAGATCATCCGGCTGTTGCTGCCGTCTTTGATTTGCCTCAACCGGATGAGAGCATGATTAGCTCAACCCACAGACCAGTATCAGCTCGAGGCCTCTCCCATTTCAGGCTTTTGGTAAGTCATATTGGTTGGTGCTTCATCACTGATGATGCAATTAGTACTGAAACTAAATTTGATATGTTTATGTATTTCTTGAGAAATTGTGCTGACCTGACTTTTCCAGTTAAACAATAAATATTGAAAATCAATGTTTAAATCGAGAAATAAATAACATTAGTCTGACGAAGATAAAACTTGAGAATAAAACGGGCTGACCTGACACCTGCTGACACCACCAAAGATGAATTTCAACTTTGCCAGACAACGACATGGTTTAGGTTAAGTGAAAAACTCCTTCCCGCATCATGGGCGTGTTAAGACAATATGGAGGCGTATTGTTTAGCCTTAATAATATTTTAGCAATATAATGAATTTAAAATGTCTCATCTCAGTTAGACAGACTCGATTAGCTCGCTGGCATTTACCGAACTAAAAATTGACACGCAGAGCGCAGAGGCATCTGAGTCCTTGCCGAAGATTAACCTTCAACCGAACTCGCCTAGCGTCAGAAGTATTTTTTTGTAAGGCAGAACATTTCAACATTTCATCAAGAATATTTTGTGAGAAATGCCAAATAAAAATAAGTTTTTCATGTACTACAGCCAACTTTCAAGAATAGACACCCTGTATTTTCAAAGTCGAATTTAGGTGAAAACTGCAACGATTCTTCAAATATTGGTAATTTTCCATAAATGAAATTTAAAAAAAAAAATTAAAATTATTAACTACATAAAATCGTTTTATAAGTATCCGAAAATGATCGTTTAAAATGGGTTCTCAAAAACTGATCATGTGATTCATTTGTGCCCATGGACACCTTCCATCAGGACCTCAAGAAAAACAGCATAGGTACCAGAATTTTATCAAATTTCACCGGGCACCAAAATCCCATAAGATGTGTGCGGAGTCCTTTATTTGTGACTCGCGATTAGATGGCTATATTTGCAATTTTACCACCAAGCTTACTGAGCAAATGCATTTGCTCTGCATAATGGTACTTCACCCTGGATACCCCTACAATAACCAAGCTCACTGTTTCGGTTGAGGTTTCGATAATGTTGCTTCGAGTGTTGGTTGGAGATTTGATACTTGAAGGTTCTAGTGACCTTGTGACGCTGAATCAATTGCAATAACAATAAAAAATAACCTATATCAGTTAAAAATATTCAATTAGGTATATTTATGATGATGAAATATTAGGGGACTTCCAACTTTACATTAAGTTGGCAGTTCCTCAAGTTCTTTTAATTTTGGAGGAAACCAAACATTGAGCACTTAAGTAATTTTTGCCTTGTGGCACTGGATTAGATAGTACCTAAACATTTTTGGATTTTCCGTTGCCTCCGAAACAAAAATGCCAAGGAATTGAAGATATGCTTGGGAGACCATTTAGGCATTTTTGCACAAATAAAACAAATGTATATTCTCTATAGAATAAGTTTAAAAAATGTTGTTTTTTTCTAGGCGCTAGCATATTCTCCTGAACATCAAGCCGCCTTGTCAAATAGAAAACGCACAGCTCCAGTAGTGGACATGTTGGACTTGAAGTTATTCCATGAAATAGACAAATTGAAAACCATGTTGAAGGAACGCATGAAGTTGGACAATTTTGACAGCGTTAAAAAACAAGCCTATTATCTGCATATTTACCACACAGTGAGTATATTTTTTTTTTGTAATTTAATCTATGTTATAATTTGAAAGGTTGGCATTGAAGGAAATACAATGACAGTAGAGCAGCTGCGATATGTGTTGGAAACAGGTCACGTAATAAGTGGAAAAAGTCTGTTGGAACACAATGAAGTACTGGGCCTTGAGAAGGCTATGCAATATGTAAAATTATTGACTAGGACACATTATATCAGCCTCCAAGAAATTTTGGGCATCCATAGACGAGTCATGGGACATGTGGATCCTTTGAGATCAGGAGTATTTAGAGATGAAAAGGTATGTACAGTAGAATTTCGAATTTCCCAAAAATTGGGTTTATCAGAAACACATTCTCTAACGCCTCCAGTATCCCCGAAACTGTTAAGAGGTTCCATTGTGATGCAGCCAATATAGTACAGGGTGTTCATTTTAAAACTTACCACCCCTATTATCTCGGAGTTGAAAAATTTTCGAAAAAATCCCCGAAACACGTCAACTATAATTTGAAGGGGGATAAGCTTTTATGCAAAATTTAATGAAAATCTAAGATGAAAATGTAAGATTGGTTTTCCTCTAAAATTAAGCGTTTAGGTCTTACAGCCTGTCAAACTTGCAAAAAAGTCAATTTTCAACTTTCAATGTTTCCAAAACATTTGAACTTAGGTATTGAAATTTAGTACCAAAATGTATGGAATTAAAAACCCTCCAAAATGATGTATCCTTTGACCCCCCCTCCCTTTCCATTTAAGATTTTCTAGAGAGTGGCTCTGAGGGCTGGGGGGTTGAAAGGCAGGTGAATTTTGCATAGAAACTCATCCCCCTTCGAAATATACTTCATGTGTTTAAGGGATTTTTTCGAAAATTTTTCAACTCCGAGATAATAGGGGTGGTAAGTTTTAAAATGAACGCCATGTATAAAAGCATAAGCAACGCGCGCGTGTTTTCAGTTAGTCCTCTGAAGCCATACTGTTGAAGCATGAACAATATTCAGGAGACTGATAAGAACATCACGGGTTCCCATCCAGTCTCAAAAGTCCAACCTTCTGGGTGGATGTCATGAGATCTCAAGAGCCGGCATTTTGTCACGAACCTTTCTGCTCCGAGGTGGCAACGCTGTAAGGTTAATTGTTTATATCGTCTCCACAAAAGTAAAAAAATTGTCAGAATTATAAAGTTTTAAAACAAAAAAAGTATCAACCTGTGTTGTGTAATAAGAGACTATGCTGTACAAGTGAAAGTGGAACTTTTTGTAAAGTTTTAAAAAGAAAAACATTAAGTTACAACAATAGTTTCTGTTGCTACGCCAAGAAATTTCAAGGCGCTGTTGCCACCCATGTCGATGAAGAAATCCTGATCTCACAAAAAGATGGAATGTGAATTTTGTCATGAAGTGAAAACCAAGGAAGTTTTTAATTGTGATGAGTGTCACAAAAAAATCTGTAAAGTATGTGGGAAGCTAACATCATCAGAAATAAAAGTTCTACAACTAAGTTCTAGGGTTATGAAGTTTCTCTGTCAAACGTGTCTAGGTTTGGATACATATATACTTTTGAAAAATATTATAGATGATAAACAAACAATAATAGATAGTAAAGATGAGATAATAAGACTGTTGAAAAATGATATTAAAGAAGCGAATTATCATGAAGCCGAAGCAAGTTATAGCAAGATAGTGAAAAAAACACCTGCCGTGGAGAAAGTTTTGATAATTAAACCCAAAGATAAGACCAAACAAGCAAAACAACAAAGCAACAATTGGAAAACGAAATTGAACCTAGCACTTTGGGGGCTGGAATATCTGCAGTAAAATACGCTCGAGACGGTGGAGTTGCAATCAGCCTCAATAATGAGTAAACAAAAGGGTACGTTTGTGCAAATATTAAAGAAAAACTGGGACAAAACTATAATGTCATAAAACCTGAATTGAAAAACCCAAGAATCAAGATTTTTAACATAAACAAAGAATTATCAGAAGATGAAGAAGTATTGATAGAAAAGATTATAAGACAAAATAGAATAACAACGGAAGAGAATGTGCGAATAATTAGACAGATATATAAATATGAGACAAAGAAAGAAGGAAAAACACCTAGAACAAACGTTATTTTCGAACTGGATCATCAGACCTATAAACAAATCAAATTAAGAGGAACAGTTAATATAGGATGGAAAAGTTGCTATTTTTAGACCATATTAATGTAATACAATGCTTCAGATGCTGGAAGTTTGGACATATGGGAAAAGAGTGCAAAAGTGAAAAAGAAGTTTGCCCAAACTGTACAGGAGAACACAAAAGTAATGAATGTAATGCACTGGTGAAAGAATGTGTTAATTGTAAAAATGCAGCCCAAATCGTAGGAGTAGAAACTAGTAACTACCAACGTGCAGCATATGATAGAGAATGTGAGTTTTACAAAAGAATTTTTACCCAGTTACAGAAGAAACACCACTATCCAGATTTATATAGCAAAAATAATGTATGGCAACGAACAGCGCCTCAAATATTGTATCTAAATATACAAAGTCTTCTTGCACATAAAGTAGAGCTAAATTGGTTGATCAATCAATGGAAACCGGTAATTGTATGCTTATCTGAAAGTCATGTAACAAAAGATATACAAGAAAATGAAAAGCTTATAGAAGGATACAGATACTTCAGTGCATATTCTAAAAGTAGGCATACAGGCGGCAGTATGATCTATATAAAAGAGGAAATAAAAACCAAACAAATACTCAGCATTGTTATTGATTCAAATATGTGGGTAATAGGAATAGAGGCAGTAATAGATACTTTCAAATACAATGTTTTATGTGTATATCATTCGCCTAATGCTAGTCACGCAACATTTCTAGAAAATATGGATGAAATTCTACAAAACATGCTGTCCAAGGAAGGGAATTTCATCCTTATTGGAGACTTCAATATAAATATGGCAATTGATACATGTTATTCAAAAGGATTGGAAAACATGATAACAACCTTGGGAGCTTACCAACATGTCAATAAATTCACAAGAGTCACAAGACAAGGGGGCACAATGATCGATTTGATAGTCACTGATACAAGAAATACCACTTATGATATTCATTTAACACCCAAGATAACAGACCATGCTATTTTGACAGTAGACCTACTAAAAAAACCAAAACCCAAACTGCACAAAAAGATGATAAGAGATTTCTCAACATTTAATGATACAGAGTACCAACTGGAACTAATAAACAAAAATTGGGATAACAACTATATAGATATTAACATAGCTTCAGAGAGATTGGTATTGAATATGAAAGAGACATTGAATGCACACGCACCATTAAAAGAAATAACAATATCTGAATCATGGGGAAACAAAAAATGGTGGACAATGGAAATTGGCAAGGAAATTAAAGAAAGAGACAGACAATATAGGAAAGCGATAATAACGCAGAATGAAGAGGACTGGAGAAATTTTAGACAAAAAAGAAACCAAGTAGTTGCATTAATAAAAAAACAAAAACAACAATATTATTTTGAGAGAATAGATGAAGTGAAAAACGATTCAAAAGAAATGTGGAAGACCCTTAAAGAAATAACATGCCAAAAAACAGGATCCCAAAGTAATGATGGAATTATTTTTGATGAAAAACTGGAAACAAATAATAATTTGATAGTAGAAAAATTCAATGCCTTCTTTATTGAAAGCATTGCTTTATTAACCAAAAATTTAAATTGTAATAATACTACTTACAAAGAAGTTGCTTCTGCTATACAACAAGCAGATAGTTATTTAGGAACATTTAAAAAAGTGGAGTTTATAGAACTAAAGAAAATTGTAACGGGCATGAAAAATAAAACAAGCAAGGATGGCATAAACACAAGGATTTTAAAATCATCATTTGAAGCCATAGGTCATCATTTTTTACAAGTTATAAACACAAGTATAGAGAATGGAAAACATCCTCTATTATACCAATAGAAAAAAAAAGAATTCCAAGTTATGTCAGGACTATCGTCCAATAAACATGGTTCCCACCTATGAAAAACTCCTGGAACTTGTTATCAATAGCCAACTTGTAAATTATGTCGAAAACAATAAAATTTTGACATGCTATCAGGCAGGTTTCAGAATAAATAATTCGTGTGAGAGTGCACTACAGACAGTGCTAGCAAAATGGAAGGATTCATTGAAGGACAATTTGGTGATAGGGGCATTATTTCTCGACTTCCGAAGAGCATTTGAGACAATTGATAGACAGCTGTTAATCATCAAACTGGAAAAGTACGGCATTCAAAATAAAGCGCTTCAGTGGATAGAAAGTTATTTGTTTGGAAGAAGTCAAAAAACCAGACTTGGCGAGAGTGAGTCTTCTTTGAGAGATACCTTCTGCGGTGTACCTCAGGGAACAGTGATGGGACCAAATTTATTTGTGATGTATATAAATGATATTGTAAACTGTATAAAGGACTGTCAGATATAACTATTTGCAGATGACACGTTGTTATATTGTGCTGGTAACAATATAAACACTGTGGTGAACACCCTAAATAAAGAAATGGAGAACTTAGCTATATGGTTAAATAAGAACAATCTAAGCCTTAATATTGAAAAGACCAAATTTATGTTGATTAGAACTAGGACGAACACAATAGATGTGACACAACATCCAGGCATGACAGTAAATGGGATTGAAATTGAACGAGTAAAGGAGTTTAAATATCTTGGTGTTATTATAGATGAACATTTAACATTTTCGAAACACTCATCCTATATAACTAGCAAAATTGCTAGTAGGGTAAACGCCTTGGGCAGAATGAGAAAAACATTGAGTGAATGGTCCAAACTTCTAGTATACAAGACTTTAATTATGCCATATTTTAATTACTGCCCAACAATATTGTTTCTCCTAAACAACACTGAAATCAATACAATGCAAAAAAGACAAAATCAAGCTCTTCGTATTATTTTGGACACAAATACATATGCAAACATAAAAACAATGTTGGATACTGTTGGTATTTTAAGTGTTCGGCAGTCAATAAATTATAATACACTGGTATTTATTTACAAAATGGTTCATGGACTGGTGCCTAGTCATTTCCTTGACAACTACGTTAATGTACAGGATATACATAATCATTTCACAGGATCGACAAACAACTTTTATGTTAGAACTGTGCATAGAACATTCGACCAGAAGAACTTGTTCCATAAAGGACTCATACTATACAATGATCTACCAAACCACGTGAAGAACTGTGAAAGTCTAAATTCATTTAAAAGGGACTGCTTTAGATATGTGAAAGAGAATATTGCACTATAATAAAAATTTTGTACTGTAACTCTAAATATTATACATGTTAGCTTCAAGCTATTAATAAATATTATTATTATTATATTTCTATGCTCTTAGATAAGAGGGAGATAGGAGGGCGAGAGTTCGACGGTTCAGCATAGAACGTTTTCCTCTATTGGAACCTACATCTCAATCCGCATCGGGCCACAACAAATAAACCTTATTATAATCCACCAACGTCTAACGGGAACTTAATTTTTTTTCTCTTCATTGTTGTTTCAACCGCAAACACATTTGTATGTTGTAGCAGTGTCTAGAAGCGATAGAACCTCATAGTATAGGGTTATCAATTTTGTGCTTGAGAAAGTACATGTGTGACATTTGATAGCGGGCAAGGATACATGGTAACAAAACAGGTAGTTGTTTGGTTGGATGGATGCCATTCTAGAATATGGAACGTTTTACCACCGGAGACGGGACCACAAGTCACACAACACGAGATAATCGGACTCTGTTAAAAGAAAAGTTTTTAGGACGAGTAATTTTGAGATTGGCTAATGTGAATTGACCAACACAGTCCTGTGATCTAACACCGTTGGACTTCTTCTTGTGAGGATATTGTGAAAGATCGTTTCTATGCCAACAACCTTCTAAAGATTGACGCGTTGAAAGACAATATTCGTCAAGTTATGACCGGGATATACCTGAAATATGCCTAAAAGTTGCCAAAATTACCTCAACAGGATTGAGTCATGCAGGAGGTCCCGTGGAGGATATTCAAATATTATAATTCACACATACTTAATGGCAATAACCAGACTTTATAATGCCATAAAAACTTTATCCCAATCTCAATCTTGAGTGTCTTTTTTTTTCATTTATTTTATCAAGGTGAACTTGGATAACTCTATATGAGGTACTGACAGTGGCTTGTACATTTAACGCTTGTACTGTGAACTGATCTGAAAATATTTTGTATATTAATATTATTTAATTTGTCATATTTTTACAATTGCACCAATGCTTCAAATAATTTATTTCGGGTAATTCATCCACTAGGAATAGACGTTAAAATAATATTCTCTTCTCCAGGTATTTGTTGGTAGCCACGTTCCTCCTCCACCTGGGGAAATTGCGACACTGATGGAAAGTTATGTGGAATGGTTAAATTCTGAGGAAGCTCATAGCATGCACCCTGTAAGATATGCAGCCCTATCTCATTATAAATTAGTAGATATACATCCATTTGCTGATGGCAATGGACGCACAAGTAGGCTTATTATGAATCTAATTCTTCTTAAATCCGGTTATCCTCCCGTTATGATTTTAAAAGAACAGAGGTAAGTTATTATTTATACCTAATAATAAGAAAATTGGGATTATGCGGATAAAAAACAAAAACAGTTTTTTGGGCCAGTAAGAAATTCCTGTAACTTATTAAGGGGATTTTGGCTCTACAGCAATTGTGCCAAATTTTTGTCACCCGATAATAATAATAATAATATTTATTTCAAAATTGGTACAAACATAATAACAATTAAAATTACTTCAATAAGCCAATATAAGGCAAAAAAGATATACCTAAACATATTCACCTATTCAAGAAATCATCCAAGGCATATGGCTCCAAGTTAATATGCAATCTTTTGACTTCTCTTTTAAAAGCAGTGATACCTTCAATCTGTCTTACTTGTCGTGGCAATGCATTGAATAATTTAACGCACATATACTCTGGACTTCTTTGACTTAATTGGAGGTGATGTCTGGGGTAAGATAAATATTCTGCCCTGGTGTTACACCTTCCAGTTCTTAGCTGTTCAAATAAATTTTTATTTCTTATTGTAAAAACATGAGACATTTAAATATGTACAAAGCATATGCAGTTAATATTCCCATTTCTCTGAAAGTATCTCTGCAAGACTGGTTATAGTCCAGTTTTTTAATAATAATAATAAAATAATTCTAAGTACCTATATGGTTTTCGTCCCAACAAATGATTTCATACTTTAATCTTGATTAGAAATTGGCAAAATACAACGTTCTTAGAGTCTTCTCATTCATATATCTTCCTGCTGCCCTACCATAGCAGATAGAACTTGACTTTTTCACAAGGTCACTGACATGAAATGACCAGTCCAAATTCTCATTCACACAATCCCAAAAACTTTGTATTCTCCAAAACTCTCAAGTTGCCACTTGTACGTTATCAATCCTTTCTGTGTTAGATTGTTTGGTTCTAAAAAATACAATATTTGTCTTATCCTTGTTGAGAATTAACCTGTTTCCAACAAACCATTTTGTTACTTTATCTAGAAAATATTTACTATTCGCCAAAATCTGACGCAGACCTTTACCACCAGTCAACAAATTCGTATCATCCGCATAATTCAATATTATTTGACCTGGATTATCTCTTATCATGTATACAGGGTGTCCCAGAATATGTGGGCAATCTCTCGGATTCAGATAGAACACAAAAAAATAACATGACTACTTCCTATAAAAAAAAATTCCTACTGCCCCCCCTACGAAGTTACGTGCCCCTGAAGGACGCCTCTGAAAATCGTTTTTTTGTTGATAACCATCAAAATACTTCGTGTAATTTTTTTTTCTTTTAATATGATGGATATTAGATAAGACCCCTTAAAATGGACCCTTTCAAACACACTTGGCCAATCTAGTTTGCCAGGGACGCACTAGCTTTAACACAATAATGCTAATTTTTTTTACACCCTGTATGATATAGGCATAGCAATAATATTTTTAGATTGTTTCAACCTTGAACTAGAAAAAAGGTACTCTTATTCGATGTCAAAAAAATGAGCTGGTTTCGAGAAAACTCTGTTTTTGTGTATTAATGGTTTTTTATTAAATAATTTTTTATGTCGACTCAACATGAGATCCCTCTAATCTTATGCATTTCATACCTATTTTAATAAAATATTGTTCGACTTTCGACAATGCTTCAATATTAGGCCTTATTTCGCGAAAGTGAAAATTAATCCTTTCCACTAATATTTCCTCAGTTTTATTATTGCGTTAAAGCTAGTCCGTCCCTGGCAAACCAGATTGGTCAAGTTTGTTTGAGAGGGTCCATTTTAGGGAGTCTAACCTAGTATCCATCATATTAAAAGAAAAAAAATTACACGAAGTATTTTGAAAGTTATCAACAAAAAACCGATTTCCAGAGGAGTCCTTTAGGGGCACGTAACTTCGTAGGGGGGGCCGTAGGAATTTTTTTTTATAGGAAGTTGTCATGTTATTTTTTCGAGTTCTATCTAAATCCGAGAGATTGCCCACATATTCTGGGACACCCTGTATATCGTTTATAAATATTACAAATATGATCGGTCCCAGAATACTGCCCTGAGCCACACCAGTTTCATTATAAAGTGTCTTAGATTTGGCTTTTGTACCATTTTTAATAACAATCACAATTTGTTTACGATTAATAAAATATGACTCAAGCCAATGCAGGGCCCTCCCCCTTATTCCATATCTATCAAGTTTTCCAAAAGCAATTTTCTGTCAAGACAGTCATATGCCTCTGACAGATCGAGGAACACTCCCATCGCTTCCTCTCCGCTTTCAAAAAAAATAAGGATAAGCGTCGCAAACTGATACATCGCCGTTTGAGTGGAGTTTCCCCTTAAGGAATCGTGCTGGTTATTGTTGAACAGATTACATTCGTCATAAATTTCAGAAGTCTTTTGCACATGGCAAGCTCAAAAAGTTTGATTTTTCCCTCATCTCCCTTCTTGTACAAAGGCTTAATTAAGGCTACTTTTAGTTTGGGAATATCCCATTCGTGAATCCTGAATCCCATTTCTATTAATCAAGTAGCAAAGTATGCATGGTTTTGACTTTCTCTATAGACACTTTTATGATGCTTGTTGGTATCTCATCCACCCAACTCCTATCTTTATTTTTTATTTCTGTTGCTAATTCACCAATTTCTTTAATAGTAATTCTTCTTAAAAAGATTGACTGGTTATTTGTCGGAATACTGCAAGTGTGAGGTAAATGATCAACTGTTTTTCACAAATCTGTTATAATAGATACTAGAAATTGATTGAAGTCGTTTGAAACATTTTCAGCACTTCCCTTTAAACCAGTGGTTCCCAAACTGGGGGGCGCGAAGCAACATTAAGGGGGGCGTAAGTCTTCTAAAAAATTAATACAAATTTTAAGCTTTAAAATAAAAAATCAGTTAAAGTTTGAAAAAAGATGTCTACAATCCGGCAACAGCGCATACCTTAGCCAAAGCAGCTTTGCCATGCGATCATTGCTACAGCGTAGGCTCGCTGCCCACTGTCATGCCCATTCCTACTCTTCCAAAGTCCAGTTCAGACGAGTTACAGTGAGTGAAAAAAATGTTTTTGCCTAATTTGGAAAGGAAGGGGGGCGCGACCACTTCTTGATTTCAGAAAGGGGGCGCAAAAAAATAAAGTTTGGGAACCACTGCTTTAAACCAATTTCGTTCTTAGAATAAGTTTTTCCTGTTATCTCTTCAGTAATAGCCCACATACATTCCGTTTTATTATCAGACTAAGTGATTCTATTTTCGAACTTCTGAGTTTGAGCTTTATTTGAGGTTTCATCATATTCTCTTTTAGCCTCTTTGTAGGCATCTTTATGTGCACTAAAATTACTTAATGGTAATAGTAAATCTAATTTTGTTTTACAGATATCTACTTCCAGTGTTGTTATCCATTTTTTTGATTTATAAATTTTTTTTAAGGGAAAATGCTGATTGAATATCGCCATATACGTACATATGTCCAAAACTATTCCACTGGTTGTCTACATCATTCACATCTATAGGGTATACACGTTCCCAATTTTCATCCATCAAATTGTTCAAAAAATGTTTTCTTGTGAAAAGTTTATTTTTTGTTCAAAGTTTGTTCTATTCGAGGTTCTATTGTTTGAATATGTTTCCATGGCAATTTTTCGAGACAAAAATTTTTGATAGAAGCTGCTCTATTTTATTGAAAAAAAGGGTTAAGTCGCCTGAAGGCGGTCTATAGATTGTAATGATAATAGTTCCAATATTACCAAATCGACATCCAATAGCCGCACACTCAGAAACACCACTCACTGATAGCTTGCAAAGGTTTTTCCTACTTCTTGCCGATGTTTTGTTATGCACATAGATTGCACTTCCTCCGTGTTGACCCTCCTCACAGCAAAACCATGATGTTTTTTGAATTTTTTATGCCCAATTGTGTGAATTGTTCTTCACTTTTCCAGTGTTCTGATGCGCAAAAAAAATTGGCATTCTGGATGGACATATAATGTGTTGTTTATTCTATCAATCGAATTTCCAAGCGACTGCACATTTTGATGTATCAGGTTTATCAAAGAGTTGGAATTTGTTTTGCCAGTCGATGTGTTATATTATCTTATCTTTATTAGACAGCGCACATCGTACTTTGATGGTTTAAATCTAATAGCGGTTGCAGGCGAGCTCAGACATTTCCTGATCCCAAGTCCAACTCTGAACACATTTTTGAATTTGTTTCTTGCACTTTCAGGATTTTCTCGAGTTTGTTTTGCTCCTCATAGATGACGGTCTTGCTCTTCTTATTCTCGGCCTTCCTCTTCTTTTCTTTCTTCCTGTCTTCAGTCTTCCTCGACTTCCTCTTCTTGTTTTTTTCCCTATCTTCGATCTTCTTGTTGTAAAAGTGCTGTAAGCCTGTTCCACTTGTGTTCTGGCTTTTTTTTTCTTGTCTTTTTTTCCGTATTCGAGGTTCCTCTTCTTGTTTTTGTTTGTCTTTCGGCTTCCTCTTCTAGTTTTTATTTCTGTCTTCGATATTTTTCATGAAGGTCAGCAATATCGATTAACCTGGTTCATTTCAGCTGTTTGCTGTCGTGCATTTACCATAGACTACTCCATATTTCTTGAAACTTCATTTCAAATATAAAGTCTGACGGCGGAGTCAGAATTCCCGTACCTTGTTTAATTGTCAAATACAACCCGATGGAATGTCCTATAAAAAACACTCTGACTTGTTTGATGTCAAAAACAGTATTAAAGCCGCTATTCTTGTATCACTTTTGTTATCCAATAGAAAACTATGTTATGCTTTGAGTCCAATCCAGTAATATAGTTACTATTTCAGTTCAACAATAGTTCACTCCCTAAGTAGCTCAAACTAATCAACTAGTTATCGCGCGAATTATTTCACTGACTAGATCAAATCAGCACACCAATAATTATTGTCTTGCTGATTATTCCAATTGACACCAAATTGTTAGGGATTCCCCGGGTACTAAAACTAGCTCTGCTAACAATACTAACTTTTAATAAACTGATTGACTTTACAAAAATTCACTTATCTTATCACTTATTGCTTTCACTCAAGTTTGTACAACAAATTCACACTGACTGACTGACTCACATACCAGGCGCTTTTACAGGGTTATCAATTATGTATGGAAACGGCCTAATATTTCTGAACGCGCTTAACAACAATGTACCATATTTCCTACCTGGGGCCCGATCCTCGGGCAGGGAGTAGAGCTCCCCGATAGAACGAATTTTTTTGTCCTTGTCAACGTAATCGAAAAGTAAACAAGAATGACAAAGAGGAAAAATTTGTTCTCTCGGGGAGCTCTACTCCCTGGCCCGAGGATCGGCCCTCTGGGGGTTTCTGGGAATGTCCGATTCAATGGCGGTATTTGCAATGTTGCCAACTTTACTGTTTCTAAGATGTCGTATGTAACTTGATTTTTTTTAAATGAAAGTCCCTCTTTATTTTTAGCGTAATTAATTCAGCGTCCCAACAATACTAAAACCTTAACCCCTAAATACCAAACCTCCATTTGACTTGGTTTTTGAGATATTGCATGACAGCTTTTTTGTTGAAATGTTTGGAAACGGTCTCGTATTTCAAAACATAACAGGCTTTAGAAAAATGTGAGTGTACGTATTCAAGATTTATAGGGGGCTGGTAGGCCCAACTGGGAAATATTGTACAATTTTCTAAAGCCTATTCTGAGATACGGTCTCGCATACATTTCAACAAAAAAGCTGCATATTTCAAAAACCAAGTCAAATGGAGGTTTGGCATTAGGGGGTTCTAGTAATGTCAGGACGCTGAATTAATTACAATAAAGAGGGTCTTTCATTTATAAAAATCAAGTTACAACTTGGCAACACTGCAAATACCGCCATTGAATCGGGTATTCCCAAAAACCCCCAGGTAGGAAATATGGTACATTGTTCTTAAGCGTGATCAGAAATATTGCCTGTATACAAAGATATCAGTTTGAGATATGATTCGATTTTTTATCGAATTTCTGTATGTAGAGTCCCAGGACGACAGCTCAAAATCAAATGATATAATTAAACATTTATGTTCACCTGCCACACACTTATTAGGCTTTTCAACAATATTTTTTCAGTTTTTTCCAGAATACATGCGTATCCATGCGTATCCAAATTCGAACTGATATAAAATGTATTATTAAATTTGAAATATAAAATGGTATTTTATTAACCATTTATTTGTTTTTATTTTAGAGACAAATACTACTATACATTGAAAGTTGCTAATATGGGAGATGTGAAGCCATTTGTTCGTTTTGTAGCACAATGTACTTTACAGATTCTGGACATGTACCTGTACGGTACTAGAGCCTTGTCACTAGATGGACCAGAGCATGAAGTCGTGGAGTATTAGGATTTTTTTCACAAAACATTTGGTCAAACTAATGGACCAAAGACTTTTAAGGGCATTTACATTTGTACACATTTTATTGAAACTTTATTGGTATTTCTAAAAATATTATTTCATGTTAGGCTATTGTTGAATATCTTTATTTTGTTAATTTTTATTTTATTTTTATTGTGGCTTAGAAAAATAAAGACATTTCTGTTTTAATTTTAGCTTTTATTAAAGTACAAATTTTTTGATTCTTCATTAACATATCACAACCATATCTTTGAAATTCTTTATGGCAGGGCCATCAGAGTATTGTGTCAATTTTAAAATTTGCCTTTCAGGGCCAAACATAACATAGGTAAAAACAATTTTGTTGGTTAGTACCAAGGCTAAAGTTTTGACGGTTCTATTCACTACCTATTCTGGAAAAATAAAATACAGATAGTGATCAAACAAAACAATTTGGATAGGTGAACTAAAAAATAAATATTTGAACGAAAAAATAAAAAAATCTACAAAATAAATGAAGCTTCATGTAGGTTTGGATTTATTCGTTGTCCTTTTCTTTTTGGCTCTGGTAAATGCTTCGATAATTGCATCCCTAAAAAAATAAAGAAATAATCCTCGAGTCCCGTAATATTAATGGTAAATTTGTAAATTCATATCAAAAACGCAAGTGCCTCTTAGGTTAAAATAATTTAAAAAAAATGTAATCGGGCAGGTACCTACTAATTAAAAAAGTAGTCTAAGCATCATTGGTGATGAGGAAATCATTTCTGGTATCATGCAAACCGCTCTAAATATGGTTACGAACTGGTGTGAGGTGGAACAGTTGTCTGTAAACCTCCGCAAAGCAGTAGTAATAATTCATTTCACTGAAAGGGAAAAGCTAGACAGCTTCTTCAACCAATTATGTATGGCGAGTCAATTTCGTTTGCGGAGGAGGTTAAATATCTGTTTGTTATACTCGATAGGAAATTAACCTGGAACTCCCATCTGAAGAAAACCATCAATAATACCAGATTATCCCTCTGGAATCTCAGAAGCATTTGCGGCAGGTCTCTTAGTTTTTTTTTTTTGTGGAAAAATCTGATAGCAAATTCTTGTTCAGAATGGTCTAAAACCCAAATGTACTAATTTTTGTTTCAATACGATACAGGATGGTCACAACATATTTTCAAAATTCAATGAATCAAACCGCCAAAATTTCATATTTTGAGACAAACTTACTACAAGTTTTGGTTAAAGGATGTTCTAAAACTATTTTATATCAATTTTTGTTGTTCTCAAGGCCTCAAAATATGACATTTTTGCAGTTTGGTCCATTAAATTTTGAAAATTTGTCGTGATCACCCTGTATCGTATTGAAACAAAAATTAGTACATTTGGGTTTAAGACCATTCTTAACAAGAATTTGGCATCAGATTTTTTCTAAAAAAATCCCTTAGAGTATTGGAATTTGAGCATATAAATGTGGACACCCAGAAGGTATTTGATTAAATTTAAGCCCATACCTGTGCCCATACCTTTACTATTTAAGATAGAAAAAAAATTTAAATACAAAACTTGAGCGTTTTTTTCTATATTTTCTTTTAACTTCATCAGAAGAAACAAAATCGCATCGGGAAATGTAAAAACGAAGCTAACTACAATTTTTTTAATGGGACACCCTGTATATTATGCGATTAAATGGAAGATCTTTTCTTTCTGATTCTAAATATATTGTATACTAGCTAATGACCCGCTGCGTTGCCAGCGTGTAAATACATTTTGAAATAATACACTTCTTTTCAAATTTTGTTGTTGATTTTCTATTTAATTTTTTTTTTTTTAATCCGATATCAGAGTCGCTTGCCAGTGAGTTCAGTGACGCATTTTAAGCACTCCAGAGCTGCTCTAGAGCGCCCCGGGCTGTTTATAGGCGTTCCAGTGTATCAGAGTTTTACGAAACCGAACTTTTTTTTTCGGGATAAAAAATAGCCTATATCACTCTCCTCTATAGCCGATTCGATTGACCGGATTAGATCGATCTGGTTCAATTTAAATGAACCACGATTCAAGCTGGATCAGTGCAGGTCCAGCCGTTCTTGAATTCAAAAAATAATAAAGTTACGTCGGTTGAATGCAAGCCTAAATAAATGAAATATGTCGAAGTTATTTCATGCTGTCAAAAAAAGTTGGGTTATGTTGTTATGTAATGTGAATGAGTTTGTTTACAATTAAATTAATAATTAATTCAAATTTAATGTCTTTTTCCGAGATGCGTAACCTATCCACGAACCTTCCTTGGGATGGCCATAATAACCTACCAAAGTTTCATCGTAATCGGATAAGTGGTTTTAGAGCGCATATCCGGATACCCCGTGAACTTTGATTTTTATATACAGGGTGTCACGAAAGGTTTGTTACAAACTTCTAGGGATAGTAGATCTCGTAAAAATAAAACTTTTTTCTTGATAAACATGTGTCCGGAAATGCTTCGTTTTCCAGATATACAGGGTGGCCCAAATTTGAGCCTCATCATTGGGATCTCGGTAACCGTAAGAGATACGGGGTCGGTTAAATTATGGCAAAGTTGCGCAATTTTATGACCAATGGAATACTGTTTTGAAACTAGAAAGATTCCGAATACTTCCGGAGATATTCGAAAAAAACCAAAATTTTGAAAAATCGTTTTTTTTTTCCCCGGGCTTATTTGCAATTTTAAAATAAATGTCACTTCATCATTGTTACTTCTTCCCCTCTAGAAGATGGTGGTAGTAAATTTGAAATTCGACGTTTCGTCTTCAGGCGGCCATCCTTAACTTACGATTTTTAAATACGAACCTAGATTTTTTATTTGCGATTTTGTGATCTTTGGGCATCCTAAAACCGATACTGTTTATAATTTTTCAATAACACGGTAAAAAAGCAGGTCCGTTTTTGAAAAACGTCGGATTTCAAATTTTATCTGCCATCTTGAAAAGAAGAGAAAGTGACAGTGGGAATGTGAAATTAGTTTTTCAAAATCTTCTTAAATGAAATCAGGAAAAAATTTAAGAAAAACGAGAATTTTTTTTTTCCGTATAGTTTTCATTTTTCATGGCGGTATTAAATTTAAAATCCAATGTTTCGTTCCTCTGAAATCATCATTAATTTTTTTTTTAAATACGGACCTGCTTTTTTTGCTGTGTTATTGAAAAATTATAAACAGTATCGGTTTTAGGATGCGCAAAGATGACAAAATCGCAAATAAAAAATCCAGGTCCGTATTTAAAAAAAGGAAGTTGAGGATGGCCGCCTGAAGACGAAACGTCGAATTTTAAATTTAATAGCACCATCTTCTAAAGGAGAAAAAGTGACAATGATGAAGTGACATTTATTTTAAAATTTATTTTCAAATAAGCCCGGGAAAAAATAAAAACTATTTTACAAAATGTTGTTTTTTTCCGAATATCTCCGGAAGTATTCGGAATCTTTCTAGTTTCAAAACGGTATTCTATTGGTCATAAAATTGCGCAACTTTGCCATAATTTAACCGACCTCGTATCTCTTACGGTTACCGAGATTCCAATGATGAGGCTCAAATTTGGGCCACCCTGTATATCTGGAAAACGAAGCATTTCCGGACACATGTTTATTAAGAAAAAAGTTTTATTTTTACGAGATCTACTATCCCTAGAAGTTTGTAACAAACCTTTCGTGACACCCTGTATATAGATAGATAGATAGATTGATCACATTTATGTGAGCCATTTTTGATATATGTTTCTTAGCTCAAATTATAAATAAAATGCAAAGAAATTTTAGAAATATTTTATAGTATTTTACATTATTAGCCAGGTAAAACTGTTTTTACTGGCGATTGGAGGAAATGGCTCGCGATCCGTTAGGCGAGCTTGTCACCTTCAGATCCGGTAAAAACTCTTACCTGGCGTATAATGGACAATAATTTATTTGTTACAATTGTTACCTACTCATTTGTGAAAGATACATACACATGAAAAAATTGATAAATAATAAATAACAAAATTTTACAATTTATATTTTTTTCTTTGATTTTTTTCTCATTCAAGCTTTGTTAGTTGATATAACTATGAGAACGAGACGTGGTTGAGTCGTTGTTTATGTTTTGACTTGATAAGTGACGTTTTACAAATGAGTGACAAATAAATCTCTTGATTAGGGATTGACCGATACCGATATTTATATCGGCCTCATTGGCCGATTATCGGTATCGGCCGATATCAGGAAGCCGATAGGCCGATAATTTTTTTTATTGGGAAAAAAATTTAAAAAAATCAGGGATGGGCATCTTCGCGTAAACAAAAATTGTCTACGTCTCGTGTAAACAACGCGTAGACAATGTAAACTATGTCATCTATGTAGACAACGTGTAAACTATGTAGACAACGCGTAAAGTATACAATTTTTGACAGTTGGCAGGCCTTTAAGGTTATGTTTCTGTTTTTGCTTTGTTTTGTTTTTTGCTTTGTAATGTTAATTAAACTGCAGATAATGTCTAATTTGATAAAATATAAATTTAATGCAATGCAAACTATCAAAAAAATTACTCAAATTTCAAATTTTTTGTTGTCTACATTGTCTACATAGTTTGCATAGTCTACATGGAAAAAAGTGGATGTAAACAATACGTAGACAACGAGTAGACAAACCGCGTAAAGTAGATTTCATAGTCTACGGCACATCCCTGAAAAAAATGAAGGACAAAAACAATTAGGTACATCAGAAATACATTTTTATTGAGAATAAAATGTATATAGCTACGAAAACTAAAGTAGAATTATTAGCTTTTTTTCTGACAGCTTTGTTTAAATATTTTATTTTTACACATTTTTGGTTCGTACTTGAATCCGTTATCTAACGATATTCCACTGGATGGTGCTTGGAAAGATGGTATTTCCTATATAGACGTAGGGCACTTTCCAAATTTCACCGATAAACTGACCGGTTAAATTAAACGATAGCTGTCAAAAAATTCTGGTAAAAGTTAGGTGTAAGTCTGGTTACAAGATTTTTCTGGTGCATTTTGGAACGTTTGGTGTGAAAGTTTGGTTGTGATGCTTGTTGTTTGGAATTTGGAATGTATGGAGGTTTGATATGGGATGCACTACGGGTGCAGTAAAATTGGATGGAATGTATTTTTATTATAACAACATTTTTTCTGCAATCTGCAAGGAACAATTTAACGAACGACTGCCAATAGTGCTCATCCAAAGCAGGTAATTTTAATGTATGTCAAAACAAAAGTGTCAAAAAATCTCTAACCGAAAAAACCGACAAAAATTCCCGGCGGAGCTGATCATTCTGGTCAATTTTGGAACGAACGATCGGGTTCAACCCGTAAAAAGTCGGCACATTTTAGAACGATTTGGTGAGTATTTGAGTAAACTATTAAACCAGTATCGCACCGGTTCAGAAACCGGTGAATTTTGGAAAGTACCCGTATTGGCCGTTTTTCCTTTGCCACCTTGACACGCATTTTTGACAGATTCTATCATGATTCACGATTAACCTTTAACGGCTACGGAGTGGTCTGTCAGACACCTGGTGAAAATCTTTTCCGGTTATTTTGAAAATACTAGCGATTTGAGAGGTGAGAGTTTATGTACCTTTCAGTGGATCACTGTCCCACACCTCAGTAATGCGATAGTGTCAGTAAAGTCAGCAGTGATTTTCTATTTAATCCTAAAGATAGATAATGGTCTGCTAGACCACAGCATAGCGAGTACTTAAATGCATCCAGGTGACCCAAAATTTCAAAAATGGGCACAAATTCTTTTGATGAGCCAAGTTTTGATGAACTCGATACTAATATTTTGATAGCGAAGACGACTTAGATGGACTAAAAGCTGGAGGAAAGCAACTTTGAAATTGTCCCGCCTCTGAGGAAGTATATGGAGTCTATTATTTTCAAAAGAAATTATAAATAAAATAATTTTCCATACAAATAAGAAAATACCAAAGCTAAATTGAGTTTTATTGTTTAAAACAGTTTTTAGTTTTGTTCAAACCAAATTTTGGATATAATTCGAGATTAATTTGAATTTTAACGCGAATTCTGATAGTGTCTGTGAGACCACTCTAGCGATTAAAGGATTTTTTTCCACCGTAGCCGTTAAAGGTTAAGGATGAATAATTCCACCGCTTACTTCTCTTCAGACAATAATTACAGTTTGCTCTATTCTCTACTTTATAGTTTGAAACACATCCAATATAAAGCACAACTTAGCATGAGAATGAGGCGATGATGAACGACAATAAATATTTAGACTTGCAGAAACACGCTCGTCCCGCTCCGACGATTGCGCAACATTGCATTCGGCAATACGAACAATTTTTCAACCAAGACAAGACGAAGCATTACGACAGAAAAAAAAACGAACGGCCGATAGGCCGATATATCGGTCTTTGAAATATCGGTATCGGCCGATTATCGGTATCGGCTAAAATTTCTATATCGGTCGATCCCTACTCTTGATATCCTTATGAAATTTCTTTGCAAATTATTTATAATTCAAGCTAAAATATCTCAAAAATGGCTTACGCAAATGTGATCAATACCAATATACAGGGTGACTGGTAAGTAGACGTATTCCTTTGAGCAGGTGAAAGTAGAGCCCATTTGCTACCGATTAAACATCATTTACCTCTATACCATTCTCAACAGTTTTTGAGATATTTATTCTTTTTTAATTTCCAAGAAATTCGCTCCTTTGCCCGGTAAATATTTAAAATTAAGGAAAATAATAAAAGCCATTTTAGATGTCGCTTTTTAAATTATAAGCTGACACACTTACACAAATATTAGCATTGAAAATTATTGAAACAATAACATAAACTATTAAATTATTTCGGTTTAAACTTAACTTTCCTTGTCAAGTTACAAACTAGTGGTTACTTTATGCTTAAAAATTTCGAAAATTTCATAGTACATCAAACGTACAAATTATTAATAAAAGTTCTCGATATAAGTGTCTTCAGAATAAGGCACATTATTTCAGAATTAGTCTTTTGTTTTATTATTAAATAAATAAGTTTTATTTGTAAGAGTAACCAATATGAAGAAAAAATTACTCGATTTGTTTTTAATACCACGTGTTACAATAGAAATGTTATCAAATATTGGTGTTAACATTTACCTAAATAAGGTATGTTCCTTATTATTTCGTTAATTTTAAATATTTACCTCCCAAAAAAGTGAATTTCTTAAATATAAAAATAAAAAATATCTCAAAAACCGTTGAGAATGGTATAGAGGTAAATGATGTTTAATCGGTAGCAAATGGGCTCTACTTTCACCTCCTCAAAGGAATACGTCCACTTACCAGTCACCCTGTATACCTATACAGTGTCTCCGAAATTCGAGTCTCTACATGGGGATTTCGCTTATTATGAGAGATACAGGGTGGCTGAAATTAGGAAAGTTTTAGGGAATTTATTGCTCATTTATATCCTGTTGTTAAATTTGCTTCAAAGTTTTCTGTTTCCTAGAAATCCGAGATTTAATACCTAGAATCGGTATTTTTGAAGTCTCTGGCAATTTTACTGGATAACGAAAAAATAAGTAGGTAAGGTATTCCACATGTTTTTTTTTGTTTTGTAATGTAAACAACATGAATTACAGCTTTTCCTCCTTTCTTCTTTCGGTTTTACGCCTCGGGAAAAATTATACCAATTTGGATATTCCAGAAAGGTACAATTCTTGTAATTTGCACTCTCAGATTTTCAGGATTTGAGAGTCGATTCGACCTCACTACTATTTTAATAAAATATTCTTTAATTCGAGTTTTATTTTATCAAGACAATAATATTAAGATGGGTCGCTTTTTTGGCTTCTTTATCTGTGACGTGGATTGATAGGAAATTCCTCGAATTAAAGAATATTTTATTAAAATATTAATACAAGGTCGAATAGACTCTCAAAGACTGAAAATCTGAGAGTGCAAATTCGTCCTTCACGCAAAAACAAGACTTGTATCTGGAATATCCAAATTGATAATTTTTTCCGAGGCGTAAAGCCGCAAGAAGAAAGGAGGAAAAGCTGTAATTCATGTTGTTTACATTACAAAAAAAAAAAAAACATGTGGAATACCTTACCTACTTATTTTTTCTTTATCCAGTAAAATTGCCAGAGGACTTCAAAAATACCGATTCTAGGTATTAAATCATACTTTTTTGGTTTTATTCTTATAACTATGAGCATTGTTGCCAAATTTAGCAAAATATCGGTTCCAACTGTAATTTTGAAGGACTTGCAAAACGTTTTCATAGCTTGTAATAAATTATTTTAAAGGATATTTTTCGCAGACTATTATTTTGTTAAAATCGAAGATGGCCGTCATAAGAAATAAGAAAGTTTTGGTTAATAACTCGAAAACAAGCGACGATCGGAATGTTTTCAAATCACGAAAATATCCGTCTCAAAAAAGTGTTTTAATAATGTTAGAGTTAGAAAAGTCTAAAGTTAACGGTTTATGAATTATTGACAAAGAACAAAATTGGCTATTTTCAGTTTTTCTCGGATTTCTAGGAAACAGAAAACTTTGAAGCAAATTTAACAACAGGATATAAATGAGCAATAAATTCCCTAAAACTTTCCTAATTTGAGCCACCCTGTATCTCTCATAATAAGCGAAATCCCCATGTAGAGACTCGAATTTCGGACACACTGTATTAGGCATTCCAGGTTGACGTCATAATCGATCCGCCATTTTAGCTGAGGGGAAGACTCAAGCCAAACGTAACCTGATTTAATGTTATTTTCAATGCAAAGCGAAAATTTTTGAAGTATTATTTTGTGAAGATGTCTTCGTTTGGTGGCGTTTTTGGGTACTCCAATAGAGCTGAAAGAGATAAAGTGAGGTTTTTTAGGCATTTAAAGATCGAGGGGATCGCATAAACGAGCTATCAAAAAAACAACGGAGTATGTGAATTAGATGCCTCAAAAGGTGAGATTTGACTGTTATGTTGTTGAAAATGCTCGAATCTGTTCGAAAGATTTTGTTAATGGTAAGTTTTATGACTGTTTTGTTGTTAAAATACAAAAACACTTCATCTCGGTATATCAAAAAAGTTGTTTATGTTTCTACAAGTAGGTAACTTTTAATACCTTTTAGGTAGTCCAGCAGAATTTAGGGATACAAACAATCCGGATTGGGTCCCCAGTACAAATTTAGAATATACTACGATAATTGATAGAAGCCCAGAATGAACAAGCCAGTAAGCTAAGCTACATGCCAGATCTGTGCACCGATCAGAACAGTCAAAACGTTTAAGGAGTCATTCTACCACAAATTTATTTTGCTAAAGTTTATTTGTAAGGTTGTTAGTATCAAACTTTTTTATTTTTTAAACAATTTAGATTCTTAAGCATTATTTTTGTTAATAAATTGTTTGTTTACTATTGTTGAGTTGAAATGTAAAGTGGCATGTCTGTAAATAAAGATTAATTAATTCATTCCATTCATTCACAAAAACTAAAAACAACTTAAACTTATTGAACAAATCAAAAAACGCAAAAATTCCGAAGCACAAACTCAAAAAACACTGTAAACAATATGATCTATAGGCTTTGTTTGCCCCTCAGCTAATATGGCGGACCTATCAAAAGTCACGTGACCTGGAATGCCTAATTTGGAATCAGGAAAGAAAGATCTTTCATTTTATCGCATAATATACCTACAGAGTGTAGATATAGAAAAAAAAAACTGTCAAGTCTGTAGGTATGGGTTTGAATATAGTCAAATAGCCAGTATAGCCGCAAAAATAAAATTATGAGCCTAATAGGTGCCAAACTCTGGTTGAGCTTGACTAATTTGATGTGTTTATTTTAGGTTCTATGTAAAAAAAAAACAATAGAAAACTCTTTGCGACATTACCCAGGTTTCAATTTAAATCTGCGCAGTAACCGTACCTGAAAATATTTCTATGCCAGATGTAGGCTCCAACATGTCCACAATCCAAATATCTAACAGTAGCACCAGGCCATATTTCATTCAATTTTGAAACTCCGCGTCTAGGAACATAACCATCAGTTTTGGCAGTTATTGATATCACAAGGGAAGTGTCCACTGGCACCGAAAAGTTTTTTAGGTGGGTACATTCATCCATCATTCCTCTCATAAACCACAAAGCGTGTTTGGCTGAAAACAAAATATAAGTTAGTTTAGGACGTAAAGTATAACCAATGGTAATTGAAACTTCATAAAAAAGGCAGCTCAATAGATCTATCTGAAGTCACATGGGAATTTATAGGCCTCAAGTCCCTCGAGATATTAATTTTTTTTATTGAAAAATTAAAACAAATATTTGTCGTCTATCCTATCCGCGCATGTATTATCGTGCTTTATTGATGTTTTTCAAAAAACGATTTTTAATAATATATTAGAAACGGTCAACGAAAAAGAACTACATATAAAAATAAATTTCTATTTTCTTTTTTAATATTATAATAATGAATAATAATATTTTATTTTATAATAACATTGTCAGGGCTCTGGCGTGCGTAACAGAAATCTTGGGTCCGTTTATTCAAAAATCAAAGTCCAATTAGCACAGCAATAATTTATTCAACGTTACTATAACACTTTGACACTAATTACTCCACTAATTGACTCAATCAACTTAACTATTACAACTCTTACAATGTTTACTATTTAAATCCGTCGTCTTGCATACGAAAGGGCGTATCTAAAAAATCCTAATTTTACAGGAGAGCGGTTTGAAATTGCCCTTTTTGACATTTGCAAAAGATGAAATGAAATGAAATGAAATGAAATGAAATGAAATGAAATGAAATGAAATGAAATGAAATGAAATGAAATGAAATATATTACAGAATGGCATATAAGTATACATGTTATAAGCAAAAAACCCCTTATTTACATACTATAAAGTCTTTGAAAAAAACTATGCTAAACTTAAACTTATACTCATGCCCCTTTTATTAATAACTTAGTATAGCATTAGAACTGTTAGTACCCTAAGTCACAGGTGACTTGTCGGGTCTCAGTCTTTTACCCATATAGATATACTTTTTGCAAGTAGGTACAATTGGTAGATATAGTTAGTAATATATTACTTACAACGCTACATTCATCATAAATTACAATTACTACAATAGCATGAAACTTTCAAATGGCAAACATTGAACATATTCTAAAAATTTTTCACTTTTCTTCGGAAAATTGAAACCAATGGGAATTCATTAGGATATTGTATTACATTAATTTATTTTTATATTTTTAAAAAAGGTAAGTTCCGTACAATGAGGTCTTGACTACGTTTTATCCATTCAACCATTTTCAAATCGAACACCTTTTTTCTCCTAATATGCTTATATTCTAGAGGTAGAAGATTAAAAACTCTTGGTCCCACATATGAAATATGACGTTGACAGGCTGTGAAATTTACCCTGCTTGAACAAACGTGTTCCCATGTTATAGATCTTGTATTGTGAAGACCCACCGGAACAGTTTTGTATGTATTTTTATTTTGCATATAATGCAATGTTTTTTTCAGATAGAGCTCTCTTATCGTCAAAACTTCACTCTCAACAAACAAATTAATTGAAGGGTATCTTTTTGGCTTCCTTTTCATTATCTTGAGAATATATTTCTGGGTAACCATCAAGTTCGACAAAACCGTGCCACACGCGCCACCCCAGATTCTTATGCCATAATTCAAAGTAGATTCAATCAGGGCTTGGTAAACTATTTTCAAAAGTGCATAAGGCATGAATTCACGGAGTTGGTAGAATTTATAAATTGTTTTCCTGATCTTTTTAGTTATGTAATCAATGTGCACATTATACTTCAGGTTCTTATCAATGTAAACTCCAAGGTATTTCAGACAAGCTACAGACGAGATTTCAGCTGTGCATCTACAATCTGCCATTTCTTTAGAATAGCAGTTATAATTATGTATTGTTAATTTTGCTGGTTCATCCTGCTTTATGTTGTACATAGAAAAATTTATAAAATGAGTTTTACTGTTATTTAGTGTTAAGAGATGCTGATCCAGCCATAATCCGACCATTGAAACATATTTTTCTGCCAGCGTACGTGTTTCTTCCCATGTTTTGGCTTTTACCAAAATCACAGAGTCGTCAGCATAACAGATCACCGAGCCATTTATTTCTGGTAAAATTCTTGTAAGATTATTTATATATATCACAAATAATAGCGGTCCGAGGACTGTACCCTGCGGCACACCACATTCTACAGTTCCCTTTTCCCCAATGAAATTATTTACCTTGACTTGCTGAGTTCGATTACTTAAATATGACTGGAATAGTGATAACTCTGTTCCTCTTACACCTATTTCACTTAGTATTCGCAGCAAAATGTGATGTGCCACAGTGTCAAAAGCCCTTGCTAGGTCAATAAAAATACCAATAGTTTTGTAACCCTGGTCAAAATTGTTCAGTATCGTCTCTGTTACAAGTTGGATAGCATCCTCAGTACACATCTTACTTCGAAAACCAAATTGACTGTTTGATAGAAAATTTATATCTTCTAGATGTTTTTCTAATTTGATTTTGATACACTTTTCCAATAATTTATTCACCGTACTAGTGATCGCAATAGAGATAAAACCCTAAAACTTTTGTTTTTAACTTTTTTCAATTTCTTTTTTGTTCAAGCTGTTGTAGCCGCTATTACAAGGAACAGACCCTGTACAACGTACAACTTTCATCTTACTCCTGGTGTTACGCTGAACTCGATAAAACAAATCATTGATCCTCTTGATTATTCTATAGGGTCCTTCCCATGTTAAAGACAATTTTGGCGACACTCCTTTAATTTCTTGTTGGATTATAGAGCCACATTAAATCACCTTCTTGAAATCCGGCTGAATTGACTTTCAAGTCGTATCTGGTCTTCATTCGGTCACTGGCCAGCTGAATATGCTCCCGAGCAAAATCATGGATACCCAGAAGTCGTGCCCATACTTCGTCGGCATAGTCTCGAATTTCTTTTCGTTCTTCTTCAGGTATTCCAAACATCAGATCGCAAGGTAACCTGAGTTCCCTTCCAAAAACGATTCTAGCTAAACTGTCACCTGTTGACTCGTGAACAGCTGCCATGTTAGCGATTGAAAATAGAGGCAAATGTTTATCCCAATCTCGCTGATTTTTTGCGACCACTTTTGTCAGGTGTTCCTGTATGGTCTTCTTAAATCGTTCTACCATGCCATCAGACGAATGCCCACGATCTCACACATTTCCCCTAAGATGGCAGATTTGAAGTTTCGTCCCTGATCTGAATGCAACTCTAGTGGCACACCATGAAGACTAAAAACTTCTTCCATTAGCACCTGGGCAATAGTGATGGCTTCTTGATTGGAATACCGAAAACTTCTGACCATTTACTGAAGTAATCCATGAAAACCAAGATGTATTTGTTACTACGCTCTGACTCAGGGAACGGTCCGGCAACATCTATCCCTATTCTTTCAAATGGGAGACCGACGTTGTACTATTTCATGGGCCCCCGAGATCTTAGTTTAGGGCCTTTACTGGTAGCACAGATGTCGCCTTTTCAGCAGCAGTTTTTAACGTCTTCATGATAGTGGACCCAGTGAAAAAGTTCCCGAATTTTGTCCAAAGTCTTGTTAACTTCAAAATGTGCCAGTGAAGTTCCGTCATGTATTTCTTTTAATACATCTTCTACTCGATCTTTTGGAATAACTAGTTGGCTGAGTTCCACTGAGCCCACAACGCCTTATAACTCAATCTCTTGCTCGACACTTCCCTCCATTCTGGCCTACACTCGTCATTTTCTTTAAAGGGGGTGTGACCCAAAAAAACGACTTAAGCTACTTAAATCAAGAAAAAAATTCTAAGATCTCTCGTGAAAACCGCAGTCCTATATTCAAAATAGTTTCCGAGAAAACGCCTTGTGAAGATAAATTATGCAGGAATTAGTGATGTCACAACTGCCGAAATCGCTGTCTTCTGTTCGTTTAGTCGTCAGTGAACCGTACCCTATACTTTGAGTGGTTGCAATTTGCTCTAAGAGATAATTGTCTTTTGTTTTGGAAGATTTTTACACGTGTTAATACTGTCCCTGATAATCCAGCGTGACGTCACAAAAGCCTAGTTGGAACTTTAAACGACTCTAACTCGAAAATGGACCATCGTAGCAACATGCGGTTTAAATATTTATTCTTAGATTTTTTTGCACTAAAACTTTCATTTTTGGGTCACACCTCCTTTAAGATGTAGAATTTGTCCGATGTTCTGGTCGTATGTCCGTATCGGACGTATGGTATCACAAGTCGCCAGCTACCGAATTGAGCCGATTGGAGAAGCGTAAAGGAGGCGCGAAATCGTATTTGGTAGGTGCAATACCGCGCATCGATAATAAATTTTCAAAATTAAATTGATTTTATTAAAATTGTTATTCTTATTTTTTCTTTTGCTTTAAATAAATTGTCGAGTTTCTAAATCCTTCTCTCTATGCCACGAAGATGCTCAATAATTTCCACCACTTATCACTTATCAGTATCTTCTTCTTGGATTGCTTCATGAAACAATTTTTCAACATCTTCGATTTTAAAACTTATGTTTCTTGTTGACTTGTGTTCCCAAATTAACTTGATAGGTTCAGTTCGCAATGGTGAGGAGGTAACTTTATAACAATTATCACCCATTTTTTGGTCATTTTATCTAAGATACAATTGGAATATCTGGACCAGTATGGCTTTGTGTTGCAAGCAATTCTTGCTTCACCATATTTTGTTCGAAGGGAATATTTTTCTTCCAAAAGCCAATCTTGTATTTTCTATTTGCGTCAGGACGTTATTGGAGTTTTTTCTACTTTTCTGGAGTGGTAGCTGGCATTATCCATCACTATAACGAAGCCTTCGGGAATAAGTTCTATCATCTGCTCACAATATTCCTCAAACACATTGGCATTCATATCCTCATGAAAATCTCCAGTACGGTTTGATATAAAGTGTGTTAGCAATCCACCTTCTACAAGGTGTCCAGAAAGGGTGGGGAAGTATTTGTTTCTGCGTTTCCCAGGTAACGGCGAGGCTGGGAGGGGCGAGTGAGAATAGGCTGGTGCAGTACTCTTTGGAGATTTATTAACCATGGAAGCATGCCCGGGAAACCATCCTGCTTTTTGAATACGCG